TTATATAATCAGTGAGCTGCATTGGCAAGCTGAGAAATTTAGTTATTTATACTGGTTCAGCCCTCTACTCACTGCCTATGTAACTGTCACTATGTCTTTCATCCATTTTCAACATTAATATTGAACATTTTCAACCGGAGGCCCCCTCCATGCATTGACAGCAGCCACCATGTTAGTCGTGACGTCAGCCTTCTTCACCACGTGACACCTAGGGGGAGTGCCTTTGCCCATATACGTCTCATCTATATGTCTGCTTTTTAAAGCTTTAATAGATCGGCAGAATTAAGTTCACTGATAAATTCAAAATGAAAAGTATTGTTTGGCAAGTGAAAGCGCGACGTTACTCACAGAATGTGATAGGCTTAGCAGCAATCTAGTACGGAAATATACAGCTGCACAGTGGAGCTGCCAATCAAACACATATATGGACAAGTGTGACCTACTTTAAAACTCAGACACGCTACCACAGGGGTAAATCAGCAATTAGGCTAAAATTACGGGTTTATTTGTAAACTTCCATTATTTTAAGATAGGCTGATATGTAGTTGATATTTCATCTATCTAATACTGACAAATTCAGAAAAACACCCAAATTTTGACAATTTACTGTTATCTACATCCTTAAATGAAATGGTCGAAAGTGGTTGTTTTCAAGGGAGTTATACTGTTTTTCAGAAACTGATTTCACTGTGGAGTTCTACAAGTGAGGAGACTTGCAGGGTGCTGTCGTTTCTGTCCATTAACAAGTTGGTGAGGCTGTTGCAGAATGCACTGCTGGAGCCCACACTCAAGGTAGGAGAAATAGGGATAAAGAAATTCAGGGCTTTTGATTTTATTAATAAATGCTCATTATAGTAGCTAGTATTCAAACAGTAACTGTAGTTGTTTGGGTAGCTTATTAGTCATTTTTCATCGTTATTCCTGGTGAAAATGAGTAAGGAATGCACATTCAGTACCTCTTAGTATGAAAAAATTCTAGCTTAGGGGATACCTGATGATAAATGATGCATTCTGCTGTGCTGCATACAGTCGGAAGAAATCGCCTAATTTGCATTTTGCACACAAACTCCATTGTGTTAACATTTGAATTCTCTTGTGCGGAATCTAAAGTGGCATCTCACCAAGGCAGAATTCAAATATACATGATTTGAACTACTTCTTGACAATTACAAATATACATTTTAATGTATTGTAATTGCAGCAAATGTACATGGCGTACGTCCAGAACTGTAAGTTCACATCACCCTCCACACTGCCGATGATCAACTTCATGCAGCGCTCCCTGGTGGAGATGTTTGCCATTGATGTCAGGCTGACCTATCAGTATGCTTTCATCTATATCCGCCAACTGGCTATTCATCTGAGAAATGCCATTACAGTAAAGAAAAAGGTGAGTCACTGGAAAGAAATTGAGGAGGATTATAGAAATGAAGTGAATGCTAGCTGTTTAACCAGTTTGAATATTATCAGATAAGGTTTACATTTGTAATTGTTATCATTATAATCGCTTTATATTTATCTCCAGACTTATATTTAGAACTATTTAAATCACTGCTTAAAAAGTGGCCCATCATTTTAAGTCTGTGTGTTAGGAATTGAAAGTTCTCTTAGATTAGGAAAGGATTCCCAAAACTAGCATTGGTGGGAAACTTTTCATGGTTTGATATCAACCAGGCTACTTTTTTTTCTTAATTGTATTATACATGATTTCTCATATTAAATTTATTATACTAGTCTGGGCTGTTTATTTTAAAATTTCTTCACACAGTGATAGGTCTAAGAACTATTGACCTGGCCTTTGTCAATCTGATGTTATTTACCAGCAGTTGAGAATGCATTGTGTATATTTGTAGGATATTTGCCAAGCATTATATAATTGGCAGTATGCTCACTGTGTATATTTGCAGGATACGTGCCAAGCAGTATATAACTGGCAGTATGTTCACTGTCTCTACCTCTGGGCAAGGTTACTGAGTACAGTCTATCCCAGCGACACCCTGGAACCACTGATATATCCACTCACCCAGACCATTATTGGTACCATTAAGTAAGGGATGTAGTTTAGAATGAAAATAATGTTTAAGTGTACATTCTTTGACTGAGTGACCTATGAAACACACACACACACGAAAAGTGGATTATGTAAATCTTTTTGTCTTTCATAAAAAAGGGTGTGATATTTCTAATCCTCTCTGTTACATATTTATAAAGTGTTAAAATCCTTCTCTCTTTCCAGATTGATACCTACAGCCAAGTACTACCCACTGCGTTTCCACTGTATAAAAACCTTGAACATGCTGAGCAAGGCCACCAATACCTTCATACCAGTGCTGCCATTTATACTAGAGGTAAAACGATAGTTTTTTTTATTACTGATGTTCTTTTTCTTACTCTTCATGTAACATGCACAGAATATTAGTTATGTAAGCAAACTTCTGCTGATTTGTCCTAGATCATAGTAAGTAGTTTAAATAAACTTCTTTTAGGCATTTACTTTTGGTTTGTCCATAGTTGTTTTATTTTCACCTATGACACTTAGGCAAAATAAGTTTTAAATTAAATTTTCTATTTTGAGTTGGGCCTTTTATGTCCCAACAGTGCAAGCAATTACTGAGGCACTATTGTGTTGGAAATAAAACCATTAAAAGTGGTGTCCTAATAAAGAAGTGCAGTTCATTGATAAATTTGACACATTTCACATCATTTCAGGTGTTGGAGCAGACAGACTTTAACAAGAAGCACTCCAAGGCCAGTTTCAGGCCCTTGAACTTTGCATGTATTCTGAAGGTATCCAAAGCTCAGCTGCAGGAAAAGACATTTAAGGTAGACAGTTCAGCAGTTATAACTTTTCGTTTTTAGTTACTCAGGTGCATTTTCTTCTGGAAATCAGTTTCCCCACAGAATCCTTCTCTGTTGACTTTTGTAATAAATTGAATAAATTTATATTATTCACCTAATAACAGATTTGAAGCATAACTATCTATTTTTTAATTGAAAATTATAAAAAAAGTTATATTTTAAATTTGAGGATTTTTTTTTATTGAATGACCTATGAAACAAATATTATTATTATTATTATTATTATTATTATTATTATTATTAAGGACGGGTTGATAGACCAGGTGTATGAGCTGTTGCTGGAGACATTCAATATCCATGCACATACTATTGGTTTTCCTGAGTTGGTTTTACCAGCTGTTATGCAGGTAAATATGGCTGACTGCAGACAAATGCCCTCTTATGGCAGAAGGGCCTTCTCTAGGGAACATGTCATTTAACTTCTTTTAGAAATTAGTAAACCGATTTTAAAGCAACTCCTTGTAAATGTTTCTTCGATAATGTTAACCTCTTTGACAGCTAGAAGAATCTTTTTAAAAATGCAAACTTAAAAACTACTGCTATGTTGCTTTCTATTTTACAGTTAAAGGAGTCATTAAAGAAGTGCAAAGTTGCTAATTACTGTCGTCAGCTGAAGCAGGTTTTGGAAAAAGTGAATGAGACAAGCAAAGTGATTGGTCAGAGGAGGAAAGAGGCAACCTTTGACCTCAAAGACCCTAAATCTGTGGTAAGCTTTAACTCATTTTTTGTTTCAAATGGCCATTTTGTTAAAAGAAAGAACTGTGAAAAATGAAGAAAAGTGAAAAAAGGGTAAAAAAAGAAATTGCAATTACCTCCAACCAATTTTATCAATCTAAGCGATTGTAAAGACAGAAATTTTAAGTTTTAGGTGACAAACTGGTCACTGTAAGGGATCCATTTTTTGATGACATCTCTTGAGACACCTTATATTTGAAGAAATTATTTTTTTTAGGATGCTTGGGACAGGAAAAGCAAGGAAGAAGGCACTCCACTTGGGAAATTCTACACTCAGTGGCGAAAACTGAGGGACACAGAGCTGCAGCATGAGATAGCTGGAAAAGAAAGAGTGAGCACTGATTTTCCCTGTCCCTCTGTACTTCTAGGAATTAGATATGACTGATTTTTAAAAATATCTTTTAATTCTAAATATACTTAAAGCTTGCTGCTCAGTTAAAGTGCTTTTGCCTTTCTTTCAATGCCATTGCAGGGCCATAACCAGATCAGATATCTCAAACAACTTATTCTAGACTTAAATTTTGTGGCTTGCTTTTATTTTTCCCCAGTAATATATTCAGGTTATACAGATTGTACTTATATATATGCTAACACCTTAGTATGAAAAAGGGTGGAATAAAAGTTAAGATTTATATTATACAAAATACGTTTTTTGCACAAAGGTTTGTAGTTTTATTGGAGACAAATTCTGTCATTCATTTCTATGGTAACAGTATATTCCCATCTATAAAAATTGGTTACATTCAGTGAATGAGGGCAAGGGGATTATAAGGGGTAGTAACAGTAAGCAATTTTACAATGAGTTAATATTTTGTAACACACAGTTTGGCACACTTCATATAATTGCTTTTAGATATCTACAGACAAGTTGCCAGAGGTGGTCCGACAAAGAGGTCCTCAGAAGGCAACAGCAGATGAAAGAAAGGAGTTTTCTGCACTGTTTGATTCCGAGAGTGAGGAGTCCATGGATGATGAGACAAGGTACTTGATTGGATAAAAGTAGGATGGTAGACATTGGCTGTTTAGTACTCAGTGATGAATTTCTTCTGTAATGTCGGTCTGAGTAGAATTTCATCAGCTGTGTAATGTTACAAGTTATTATCTGCAGCTGACAGCTTATATTGAAATGGTTTACCTCCAATATTTCAATGTCTGTTCAGAGCATCTTCATCTGGGAATGAGGCTATCCAGGTGAATAGCCTCATTTCAGGAGACAACCCCCCCCCCCCCAACACACACACACACACACACACACATCTAATGTCTTAAGAAAAGCAGGTGTAGGTCCGTTGTGTTCTTTTCTTTTAAAATTCCATTAAATTTCACAAATGTTGGTGGTACATACCATGTGAAGGTGGTCCACGCCTCTCTGAATTGCTCATCACTTGCATTTAGAGAAAGTGCCCCTTGTGGTCATTATCTAAAGAATAAAAAAAAAATCCTTTCAGATTTCAGCCAAAAAATGAACGGAAGAAGAAAGAGAAAGAAGCAACTAAAGGAGAGCCTGATTCTGATGAAGACTATAAGTATGGCTTCTCTGTTTGCTTCAGATTCATAGTGTCATGCAAATATTATAGATATTTCAACCCAATAGCAAATCTCTGGGAATTATTTTGTGACATCTCGTTGCAAACATTTATTGAATTCGAATAAGTTAAATATTTTACTCCTATGTTTCCAAATGCAAACCATATTATCATACTGTGGCATCCATTATTTGAGACAATATGATCTTTAATCAAGTTTTATTCCTTGTGACAATCAACTTTTGTCATCAGAACAGTTATAGATGTGAAAATATGATCTGGTATATTTCATGTTTGAGCTATGCAATTATCATGACAAGTTGTCACAGTAGGAATGACAGTATAAATTCAGCTATGAATCAGTGACTGGTTAACTGAAATGGTTTCTTTATTTCAGTGATTTTGACTCTGATGAGCTGGAGCAGCTGGCTGGTGATGCCAGTGAGGAGGACCCTGAGGAGGAGGAGGAGTCGGGAGATAATGAAGAGGAGGAGGGAGGTGAGGAGATGGAGTCTGAAAACAATGGGGATGAGGAAGAAGAGGAGCAGGATGCAGCTGATGTCGTGGAAGACTTTGAACTGTCAGATGATTCCAGTGACTGATGTTTGTCCTAAACAGTTGAAAGAGAATGAGAGGACATTCATAGTCAGTAGAAAACCGGTTTCTTGGATAATGGAGCCTGTAAAGATATTCTACCACAATACGTTGAACTTTAAAGGGATAATAACTCTTCGTATGAGATCTATATTTCACAATAAAAATATTGTGAACAACTCATAGAAATATAATATATTCTGTTTTGCTGCAAAAAAAAAAAAAGAAAAAAAAAAGGGACTAACTTTGAATGTAAAAATGAATTCATTAACCATTGGTAAGTATGGGAAAATTGTTGTTTACTCCAGGAAAGTTCATTTTTTTGCCAAAACGAAGAGATCAAGGTGTCAAAGATAGAACGGCACACCGTCACCTGATGGATGCACAATAAAATTGCAAGTCTGAAAATGGGTTCAGCAAATAATTTTCAGCCAAATTGAAAAACATTTCTGCAACATTTGGCTGCACTTTAAGTTGAACATACAAGTATTGCTGAAAACTGCATAACACAGTTATGTGTTATAGAAGCTTTTATAGATATTTACTCTATTTATTCCAATATGTATACTTCAGACTCCATTATTGTACTAAAAGCATTCTGCTGTAATGAGGGTAATAAACCACTACAAAAATAAATTATTTTTTCATCGTGTAAAAATACAGTATTACCTATAGGCTATGAAGTAAAAGTTGTAATTTGTTACTTTTAAAAAGTTGACTACATCATAAATAATTGCCAATTTAATATGACGGTAGTAGAATGACCCCCGTTAAAAAAAAATGACAGTTGACAGATAAAAGCCTACTACAGTGTAGCCAAGAAATGTTTTTAAATGATCATTTGGTCATGTTACTTGTGCTTTTTATTATTTCTAACTTTTTTTAGTATTTCCCATGAAATAAACGCTTCATCGACCATTAGGGCCGTATAATCGACACTTTTGGATACTTTATTTTTAAGCCTAGCAACTTTCATTTGTTTTAGCCTAATCCCTTTCGTTATTATTATTTTCAATAAGCCTACTTAAGCACCGCTTGTCCCCAAATTTAATTTTTTTAAAAATTCGAAGGCGTTTCTCGTATATGGAGTTCTAACCAAAGTACAAGTCGGCATAGAATAATGCGTTACTCAAAAACAATTGGGCTTTGGTGTTACATTAGATATTCTACACTTTCAATTCTATTCAATCTTGTGAACACACACCAAAAAAGAAAAAAAAAACGCTTTTTTCTATTTAGGGCGCATGCATATTGCACGTGATAGATATATCCTTAAAAGGCAAAACGTATTGTGACGTCATTGGCCCGTGCCGACGTAACCAGGCAGCACAAAAGCTATTGGAGATATGCTGAGCGCCAGCGAAGTGAATACGGAGATTTTCGTTTGAGTAAAAAAGACGATATAAACAATGATAGTTGCGTCTCATTTGGCCTTTTTAGGCATGAAATACAGTTACATGTACTTTTTTCACAGAGAAATATTCAGACTCGAAAACGAGGTAAGATATTGCTTTTTTTTTGCAGAACAAAAATCGAATACCCAGCTGTTTGTTTCAGTATATATGTATGTTACCCCAGGTAAAGCTATTTATTACTTAGATTCTTATTAATCAAAATAAGATTCTGTGTGGCGTCTTTTTAATAAGTATCA